CTTAAGGGAAGTTCTTTAAATTTGGTATGTGTCCACTTTGACTCAAGGATGAACTGACTAGATTTTGGTGGTCAAACAGCTGAGCTGAACTGAGACAATGTCAAATCAGATCGTGTCAAATCGTGTGACTCCTCCTTCTCCTTATTTAACATGCACAGAGCATGTTATGGCAGACCCAGCGAGCACTACTGAAACCTATAAGAGGAGTGCTGACAACTATTAGCAGCCTCTGCCACTACATAATTTTTCAGTAAGAAAAAGTATTAAATGGCTTTTGAAAGTAGGTTTTGTCACTGAAATTCCTCATATTTCCTCAAAGTGAATCTAATAACAAGAGACCTTCTGCAGCTAATGTACTGCTGACTGAGGATATCGCTTGACTATCAACCAGCATAAACAATATTCCTGAGTCACTGAAAACTCCAGGCCATCTGCACAAACAGGCTTACTCTAATGAAGCTGTCTCTTGTACAACCATGCGTAAAATACTGCTGAATTATAACATAGTCCTTTGACTCTGTCTCCCGCACGGGACAATAGAAGTGTGAGGGTCAGTAACTTACATCTGGGCCTGTTTGCTTTGTCAGTTAGGCATCCTAATGGCATGGAAGGAATCTGAGGACTGAGGATTTTTACTAATCATAATAGTTTGCATGCCAGATCACTGAAGGCAGAGTACCAAACAGCCAATGCTCAGAAAACTGCTAAACATAAATGGCCACTTTGTAAAAAAAAATAAAAACATAAGAAAATGCCAGTTGGACATTGTCATTATGCTGTTTTCCATGTTTAAGACCTGAGATGTGGCATGAGAGGATCAGCAGAGTATAGCCTGTCAGTTCAGATAAGCACAGAGGGGCAGCGCAGATTAAACTCAGTCCCACGGGAGTCTCATCCACGCCCGCTTTGAACAAAAGCTTTAATTTGTTTGAACAGCTATTTGTGAATGGAGATGATGTAAAAGATATCCATGCAAAATGTACAGGTCAATAGTAAACAGAGATTTATAAAAAATATCTTACTTGTAGGTCTTGGTCTTGTCCAGCCAAAGGCCACATATCAGGGACCCCACCATGCCAGCAATGACAATGGTCAGACCAATTCTCCCAGCATTCACCTCTTCATCCTAAGAGGAAAAAACGGACAGTTATCTTATCCTGGTAGCTGTGGGCCTTAACAGTCTCAGTCCCAGAATCTAGTTAATGTGTCAGGGTCATATGCTTGGCAGTTATATAGTTATTAGTGTCAAAGGAAGTCACACAAATGCCTACAGGTTGGCCCTACTGACACTGAACATTAGTAGAATGCTATATGCTCATAAGGCAGGAGCATGTTTTATAAAGACATGCTGGGACTTACAGGATAGTGCGTAATGATCATCCGGTTCAACAGTGTGGAAACAGCATAGAAACAGCCGACGTTCAGCCCTGCAGACAACAAACACAAAGCAGTCTTTGTCTATTCTGAGTGGAACTGCAGGGAAAGGAGAAGATCCAGATGGGACCTTGTGTTTACCCATAATAATGATGCTGACCAGCTCATAGATCAAGTCCATGGTAGCCGTCAGAATCTGTCATTTTACAGTACTTGTCCAATAATCCATCCATTTTCTATACCGCTTAGTCCCAAACGGGGTCACAGGGGGCTGCTTGTACAATAATATTCAAGTTTAATACTGGAACACATATTCAGGGTTTACATTTATAGGCTACTAAATCTGACAGTTCTGTCAATCAATAATGTCATCATGATTAAATAGTGGCCTTTGGACAATGCCACACCTAGGCAGTTTACTGGAAGTCAGTGTGTAATAATGACACATCCTCATATCTGCACACCAGCTGACAAGAAGGTTCCACTAATAGAACTGTGACAGCTTCAAATGCAGATGTCTCTTTTGAGGTTTCTACATGTTTATTGCCTTTCACTGAGATATTTCAGCAACGTCCTAGCCAGGATACATCATAAAAGCGCAGATGACCTGCATGTTACAGTGAGGTCAAATCAAGACACAGATCTGGTCTCCTTTGCTAAGTTTATCATATCCTCTTATGTAATCATCACGTGTTTGAGAGACTTGCAACTACCTGAAGTGGGAATGTTGATGATTTAGTGTGCAATGCATGTTTTATCTGTTTGGAAAGATTTCTCCTCAGTAATCTTATGAACTTTATTGCCTTACTGTATGTGAGCTGGATCAGCATAATGACAGCTTGTTATGTCATTAAATGGTAATTGTAGTGCTGAAACTTATAGATACAAAATAAGCAATACCCTAATAATTTTAATCATATATTATTGAAGTCATCGTTACCATAGCTGCATCCCAGAAGTGAATCAACAACCAAGTGATTTAAGCTGTAAATAAAACAGCAGACAAGCTACCATTCCACAAACAGTTCTTGCTCCAACAGTCCGTATGTGGAAGTTCAAACAAATCAAGAGAGCAGGAAGAGACCTACCATAGCTGACCACCAGGAGCATGAAGGGCTTGTTGCGCAGCAGCCTCAAGATAGAAGCCATATAGGAGTACTCATTGGGGGGGATGCTCCTGGCATGAGCCTGGGCCAGAGTGGGGGGAATCTCTGGTTTTTCCTTGAACACTGAAAACAGACAATGTTTCAGATGATTACCTGTGTGCTTACAATATAAGATGTGTGTAATCTGAAAGAGGAAACCAGCAGATTCTTTCGTGACAGTGTATTGTCTGTTCTCCAGTCTGCCAGAACAGACAGAGATGGGGGTAAAAGCTGCTGGAGATCATACTTTGGACATTCCCCTGAAGATAAGATAAATCACCATAAAACAATCAATCATTTGTTATGGCTACTGTCAATAAGCCAACTGAATGACTAAATAAAAACACAAAACATGATCTATTTTATTGATTTTTATTGGCTTTATTCAAATTATCTGTGCTTTTTCTACTGCTCTTTGCTGCCACCTCAGTCTAATTTTAATTTGTTTTTTTATATTTCCTATAAACCAATCTGTAACTTTGTTAAATACTAAATAAAAATTGTTATAATCCAAATTACATAATACATAATGTCCCATAGGTGTGAAAGGTAAGTGTAAGGTCTGGTCACTGGTTAAATCCATTTATTCTCACTTGCATTGGAGGAGTGGATAACAATAATAATAATAATAATAATAATAGCCACCACACATGTATTTCATATCTTCTCAAATGGTGGACAATTACAGCAATTACTGGGGCTGCTCATCTAGTAAACTGCAATTCTGCTGAGTTTTCGCTAGAAAGCACATCTCAGTGGAGACTCTGCTTTCCAGTAGTGCTGCCTGGGGAGCCCAACAACCAGATAAAAATAAAGGAAATTGTATGTTGAACAATGAACATTAGTGTTGTGAAATCTTTCTAGAGAGTCATTGGTGTTGTAGTCTAAAGGTATCATTATCATGCCAAATGAAAATATGAAGTTCTATAGGCACAGCTGTAGGAGACAAAGGAGATTAGGTAACAGCTTTGTCACAGTCCCTCCCAGCGGAAAGAACAAACTGTCAAAATGACTCTATCTGCTTTATTTTCACAACCATGACTATGAGGGAGTTATATGACATTGAAAGGCACTTGCAGTGGGCAGTTCCTGCTTGGGTGAGTGAGAACCCCCAGCAGCTCTAACCTACTCTGTGATCCTATGGATGGGAACCCTTGAAGACTTACTGATGACCACAAGGATGAAGATGAAGGTAGTCACTCCAGCGCTGATGAAGAACATGATTCTGATGTGGTACGCCAACTCATTCACGTCATCCAAATTAGGCACAAGGATGGGTGGGATCAGGAACCCAATGGCAATACCCAGCTGTAGGTGAGAGGCACTAAATTAAAAATGACAGCGCTTTCAGCTGACAATCTCACACACACACACACACACATACACACTGATGCTGTAACAAACACACTGATCAATGCTACAAGAAAGGGATGAAAATGAGTGATGGTTTACACGCTATTGTAAACACACCAGAAGTACATTTTTATTTACCATATGTAGTGTTATGTCAAAGAAAGGGTGTTAAAAGGAAAAGTTTGATATTTTGGGAAATACACTTATTCACTTTCTTGCTGAGAGTTAAATAGTAAAAACAATACAACTTTGATGTATGTTAGTTAAATATAAAGCTAAATCCAGCAGCTGGTTAGCTTAGCATAAAGACTGAAAGTAGGATTAAAAGGTTAGACTAGGTGTGGATGTCAGCATAGCAGACATTGGTACATCATAATGTTAAAAGGTCATTTCACACAGAAAACTGATGATTTGGGTTTTTTTTATAAGGACACAATGTGAAACTTGCACATCTAAGGGTCCCAGGACCCGTAATAATTTTTGCACTGCTTATCAGTCAGCTTTAATTAATTTTGAACAACTTATCAGTTAAGTTTGCATAGTTTAAAGATTTCCATGCGTCATGAGAAGGATTCGTTTGCAGAACATCATGAATGTGTATCGCGAGAATAAAAGGGAGTGTGGAGCTCTCACTAAGTTTCAAGGTCTTGTTGTACTTATAATATTGCAATGGTAGCTGGGGAAGGTATGCAAGTTGTCAGATGTGAGATAATGTTATGAGTTTCTTTGATGTGTATTGTATCATTTTGGTTTAAAGGGACTGCCCCTTTATCAGTTAATCAGAGAACTCTGTGCAGACTGCAAAGCTGTGTATGACTTCTCTCCATGCTGCATGAAATAAAGAATTCTCTGAAGCTACTCTCCGGTCTCCCGACATCTTTATTGGGTCCCCAGTTCCCACCACCACATAGGCTAGATGGTTCTGCCCATCTGCACTAATATTTAGATCTTGTTTGGTTATTCCATACAAAAATCAACGAAAACAACAAATTGATGTTTTACAGCAGCTAGAGGAGCTGGTATGCAGAGTTTGTGACCTTCAGATTGGGCCAGGTTAACTGCTCCCTCCTGTTATACATCCAAAGCAAAGAAAAACACAATGTATCTCTGTTTTGTGCATTTGTGATAATAAGAGGATGCCTTAATAACTGATATGCAAAAGGAGATTATTCTCACTTACTCCAAATCGAGGATGGCCTCCCTTATGTTGATGTGTTTTATCCTCAAAGCATTTCAGAACTTTATGGAAATTCTACCTACAGAACTTTTTGTTAATGTGAGCTAAACACCCAAGTAAACAATTTCAGGCTGAGAAGCATCAGGTTTAGGGACCAGAGCCAAAAGGATAACGTTGTGGTGAGTATGTAAACATTGACAACAATGTGTTCTTTTATTTTCAGCAGCGGGAAGCAAGACTAAAGTATTAAACAAGAACATACATGACAATAAGTGGTATGCAGTGTTTGGGCTAACACAAAGGGAGAATGCACTTCAAATGAAGAATGAACTGTTTGACTTCAGTGGTTAAAGACCATCAGGGAAGTCAGCAATCTATTAATGGTCAATGTTTATGTGTAGTGTTAAAGAGCATAGTGAGATCAAAAGGCTTCATAAGAACTGTTATGCCTATGGGACATTTACCGGCAGTTTGTACTAGTTTGTACTGAAAGAATAATTACCTCCGCAAAGGTTGGGGGTCATGTTTGTGCAGGTGTTTGTTAACAGCATAACTCAAAGAGTAATGAATGGATTATGATGAAATTCTCTGGAAAGGTAGGGTATGGCCCACAGGAAAATTGATTAAATTTTGTTGCTGATCCATAATCATAATTTGGATACAGGAATTTTGTAAAAGATTATTCGATCCAACTGGTCACTCACGTAGCACTGTCTCTGATAATGTCAATGAATTCCAGGTCGGAAAGGATGAATCCAGTCTTGGGAGTAAGCCCAGTTAGCTATACTACCGATACCAACATTCATTTGGCTAATGCTACACAACTGCAAGACAACTCCAAATATCCAGTCATGTACTACAAACTGTGTAGGACAAATATCGTACAGCATATCCTCGAGTTCACAATCTAAGATACAGTCCTCATACTTAACATACAGTGTTTCCCATCTCTCCTTCTTTCACCAAGTTACACCCCCCTCGCTTCCTTTTTTCTTCTTCTCCCCTTTCCCTGGGTATAACTGCCTTTACCAGTGGATGGTATTTTACACACAGCACTTCCTTCAAAACCTTCAAAATAACATAAATCACCATAAAGCTTTTTACCATATTTATCTTATGAATTCAACTTATTTATGGTAACTATTGTTCAAAAGCAATTAACTTTCTACATAGTAGTTTTTACCCAGGTTACAATTTAAAAAAAAATCCAGTTCCAATGCATACCGCCTCTAGGCATGAGATTCAGAAAAAGAAACTAATAATGTGAGCAATTATTGAGCACTTGGCTATGTAATCCTACATGAATCACTTCTCTACAGTAATATTCTTCTCACTGATGTTGGAACCTGAAATGGCTACTGCTCAGAAGTGGTTTGAAACAGAATTCACAGAAGCAGACTCCAACCAACAACCATGACAGCAGACACCTGCTGGTTTGTTCCACACAGAATAAAATACAATGCGAAGAGTAGAGAAGATAAAATTCTTTCACTCTCTCACATTAATTACCAGTCCTCTTAACATGAATATGAGAAGTGGGGAACACCATACGCCACAGCTTAAGGCATTTTCAATCAGGTAAAGCAGAGACACACCTGACTCCCCATAACGCCAATGGAACAGGCGGTGGACACCTCATTCTCCCCAAACCACAGGGACGCAAGTCTGGATGGGATGCCCAGGGTATCGACTGCGGAAACTGAACACACAAACTGGCCAAAGAAGGTCAAGGCAAACATGTCAGGTTTGGCTGTGCTCGTCTTGATCCAGGCCCCGATGCAGTTCAAGGCAGAGCCCAACACCAGCATGACCCTCATGCCCCACTTGTCCAGCAGCCATGTGCCAGGCAGGATGAGAGGGATGTAGGTGAGCATAAAGATCATGGAGAGCCAGTCAATGGCAACAGTGTCAACACCATAAAAGCGCATGAAGATGTTGCTAACGATGCCATACTGCAGCCACATGAAGCTGTTACTCATGGAATGGATGCTTAAAAGAAAAAGCATGACCCATCGCCGTTTGTATAACTTGGTCTCCACTGGGAACTGCTGTGCAGTGTCCAGGACTGAGTCCCCCACGGTGTCTCTGCCGTCTCGCAGAGGCATTTGGTGTTTTTGTTCAAAAAAACTGATTCTATCGTTTCTTGTTGGAGAGCAATCATTGTCCGTGGCCTTGTCAAGGCCGCCCATACATTCGTGAGGGAGATGATCCTGTGTGCTCATGTTATTCCAACTGTCTTCTGTTTTCCTTCAGACCTTTACAGTACTTGGACAGAAGCAAACATTTCTTCTTGTCTGTGCGCTATCTTACCATGGTGGCAGTTCACCTGGCTCAACCTGCCCACCAAGCAGGTATATCTGGTATTCTGATCATAAACAAATTTACCTGCGATGCCTGAAGTGTAAATTGCCTATTACTCACGCTGACTTAACTAGCAGAGGTGGATCTGGGATGCAAATTAAATACAGTATAATGAGCAAAAATTGGTGATCGCTGCCAACATCCGTTGGCAGTTCTCGCCTGGCTGCACTGGTGTTTGACAGCTAAAGTTATGTGATGGATTTCTTTTGTGTGCATTTCTTCTTATTTCAGACTCCTCCTTTGAGTTTGTTGTAGCATCAGCTAGCACTTGATAGTAGGCACAGAGTGTATACTTTAGTTAGGATGGTCTAGTCTAGGAGAGGAACTGGATTTTGTTAGGGACACACACAGGTACTACATACAACAATGTGTACAGAAGAGCTAAATCTATTGAGAAGGAGGCTTAAACAAAGACTAAGTTCATCAGAAAATGGAAAAACTGTTTAATCTGCAGAGAGGCCAAAGGAAAAGAATAATTTTGTTATTTTACAAGCGCAAAACTACTACTTCAAATTTTTGTGGTTGGTAAACATGTACAGTGGTGTGAAAAAGTGTTTGCCCCCTTACTGATTTCTTATCTTTTTGCATGTTTGTCACACTGTAATGTTTCAGATCGTCAAACAAATTTATATATTAGTCAAAGATAACACAAGTAAACACATCATGCAGTTTTTAAATGAAGGTTTTTATTATTAAGGGAAAACAAAATCCAAAACTACAAAGCCCTGTGTGAATAAGTGTTTGCCCCCTAAACCTAATAACTGGTTGGGCCACCCTTAGCAGCAACAACTGCAATCAAGCGTTTTCGATAACTTGCCATGAGTCTGCCACAGCGCTGTGGAGGAATTTTGGCCCACTCATCTTGGCAGAATTGTTGTAAGTCAGCCACATTGGAAGGTTTTCGGGCATGAACTGCCTTTTTAAGGTCATGCCACAGCATCTCAATTGGATTCAGGTCAGGACTTTGACTAGGCCACTCCAAAGTCTTCATTTTGTTTTTCTTCAGCCATTCAGAAAATATGAAACCTGAATCTGCAGCAAAAACATTTATCGCCATGTGTATGCTGAATAATTATTAGGCATTAATTGTACAGTCCAATGCTAGCCCAAACTTCACAGCTGCTCTGTTATTATTACGTGAAAATCTCCATGAGGGTCATTAAGCACCGACTTAAGAATTCCCTGGGACTACTGATTAGATAAGGTCAGCAGGTACAGAGAGAGAGGTCAGGAGGGACACTGGTGCCAAGTAAATCGCTGATTCTTTAATGTCCAAATAAATATATGGATTGTTCCTGGTATTACTTAAATGACTTAAGAAGGCCTCAACTATTTTAGCATTAGGGCCTTGAAATAGAAGCAGTGACTACAGAATATAATAGGAGGCATAATAAGATATAATAGAAGCTTCTGACCT